TGCTCCTGCTCCTGCTCCTGCTCCTGCTCCTGCTCCTGCTCCTGCTCCTGCTCCTGCCTCCTGCTCCTGCTCCTGCTCTCCCGCTCCTGCTCCCGCTCCCGCTCCTGCTCCTGCTCCTGCTCCTGCTCCTGCTCCTGCTTCTCCTGCTGCTCGCCTTGCTCTTGCTTTCGTCCTGCTCACTCACCTCGTAATGGCATGTAGCAGTTGAGGAGAAGTGAACTCTCTCGCCTCCTCCATCACCCTCCACCTCTCCTCGCTCATCGCGACGCTCTCGCTTGCCGCCTCCTCGCTCCCCATCCTCGTCTCCTCCTCTGGCCTTGCCCCGGGCTTCAGCGCCACCTGCTCCCCATCAGCATCCCCGGACCTCAGGGGCCAACAAACCTGCACGACGGACAGGATGAGTCGGAGCTGGGAGGACCTCCAGGTCTTGAAGGAGACGGTCTGGTCGAGGATGGCAAAGTCCTGCCATCCCTCCTCCCTGTGGGATAAGAGGAGCTGGAGGCGATACCGGAGGGAGAACGGCTGTTGGCCGAGGGTCTTGTCGTGCTGCCCTGACCGCTCGGTCCCCTTGTCCTTCTTCGCTCCATGCTGCCTCCCCGTCTGCCTGTTGGGAGCATCGAGCATCTGCAGCATGGCCTTGTGCGCCCTCCTTGAAACTTCCATGTTTACCATCACCTGCCGCCACTTGAGGAGGAGAGAAGGAAGGAGGAGGATAAGGAGGAGAAGAAGGAGCAGGAGCAGGTGGTGGTGGAGCAGGAGGAGGACCGTTCGTAGCCCTGAGCGATCCTGGTCGAGCTGTCCGAAGCTGGTCATCCCTGCGCCGAGTTCTGTGCTGAGCAAGAGCGTCTCTACTGCCTGTTGGTAGCGATGGTAAGGCAAGAAGAGAAGAGACAGTGAGATTGAAGAAGAAGAAGAAGAAGTAGAAGTAGAAGTAGAAGTAGAAGTAGAAGTAGAAGTAGAAGTAGAAGTAGAAGTAGAAGAAGTAGAAGCAAAACAAGAAGAACAAGAACAAGAAAAGTAAGACGAAGAAGAACAGAAATGATAGCGAGATACAAATGGAGATGTCAGGTAACAGTGCAGGTAGTCAAGTAGCGATAGAAAGATATCAGTGCAGATGGTGAGATGAGGCACAATATCAACATAACAACATCTTTCCTACCCAGAGACTGAGATCAGCTTGAAGGATCTTCAATCCTCGGCTCCAGCGATCAAGGGAAATGTAGTCTCCCCCCTCCTCAATCTCCTCCTCCACCATCAGCACGTCCCGTTGCTCATCCTTCTCCTGGACGTTATCGTCCAGCTCCTCTAGCGTGAAGACAGCAATGAAGTCCTTATTCCCCTCCTCTCCTTCTCTGTGCTGCTCCCGGCTCCCGCTCCCCCGCTCGGCCTCTCCTTCAGGCTTGTTTGCGGTCGAGGAGGAGGTTTGCGACTTGAGCTCGGGATGGGACTTGAAGAACTCCGTAAACCTCCGGCTCAAACAGTGATCCGCCTGCTGCAACTCGTGTAACGAAGCCTGAAAAACAGTAGAGCAGGCCGGCCGGCAGGCAGGCAGGCAAGGGAAGGTAGGGATGGAGGGGAACAGACAGAGCGGAGAGCGAAAGAGAAGGGAAAAGATGGACACAAAGATCAAGATTGTGCACATGCTCGACCGTTACAATTGTCAAGCAAACAGAAACCAGGCAGAGAAAGGAGGGAGACATGTTCTTACTTTCTCTGCTTCATCATCTTCAGCCACAGGTCGAGAAATAGCCCACCTCTTGTCCGCCTCTTGCTCGAACTCTTTTGCTACTGATTCCATCTGAAAACATGTTACAAGAAAGGAAATCATTGTTTTCTGTGACAATGGTCAAGAATCCAGACATAACATTCACCTTCTGCCCCAATTTCTGCATCATGATCTCCGCCACAATCACAATCACAATCACCGTCATCACTGTCACCTCATCCTCCATCATCATTGTCATCTCCATCATCTCCTCCATCGTCATCATCGTCATCGTCATCGTCATCGTCATCGTCGTCGTCGTCATCATCATCATCATCATCATCATCATCATCACTAATCGCACCTTTGTGAGCTCGTAGTAGTTCATCTTCAGCCGCAACCCCTCAAACTCTGAAAGCTTCAACAGCAAGGTTTGCTCTGCCTCCCTCAGAATCTTTCGCAGCAGCTGCCGCGCGACTCCCCAGTCATGGGGAAACAAAAGGTCGACCTCCGACTCTTTGGTGACCACAAAGGTAACTGCAAGAGGTTGAGAACGCGAGCAAAGGTGAGGAGGAGGAGGAGGAGGAGGACCAGAAGCAGTACCAAAGAAGGAGCAGCCGCAAGAGGCAGGAGGCAGGAGGCAGGAGGCAGGAGGCAGGAGGCAGCAGCTGGAGTTCAGGCTTGCTCGCAAGTCAC